TTCCAAATGTGATGGAATAGTAGATTGCCCAAGTGAAGTTGATGAGAACCCACGTACATGTCCTGATCCATGCCCAGCACATGAATGCTCCACTGGCGAATGTATTGCTAATTTCCAAATTTGCGATGGCATCAGAGATTGTGTTAATGGTGAAGACGAATTAGATTGTCCAAATGTATGCTCTGAAGTAGAGTTTGCATGTCCCCAAGGTGGTTGCATACCACTGTCGTCTCTGTGCAATGGAGTTGATGATTGTCCTAGTGGTGCTGATGAGAATCCTTTCAGATGTGGTAGATGTATACATCATGAATGTAGATCTGGAGAATGTATTGAAGCTCATCAGTTTCTGTGACGGTACCATAGATTGTGAGAGTTCTGAAGATGAACTCGATTGTGGAACTGGATGCTTAGAATATGAATACACATGTTTGTCTGGACATTGTATATCCTTATTTCGTGTTTGTGATGGTGTACCGAATTGTGCAACTGGTGAAGATGAAAGTGTCGATCTCTGTGGATGCAATGTCAATCAATTCGAATGCGATAATGGGAAATGCATATTGGGAGAATACGTTTGTGATGGTGATCCTGACTGTCCGTATGGCGAAGATGAAGACGATTGTGGTTGTGATGAGGCTAGAGAGTTTACATGTCCGACCACTGGTGCATGCATTTCAATCATTAAAGTTTGTGATGGTATATCAGACTGTGAACATGGCGAAGATGAACGACTGCCAGAATGTCTCCCAACGTTGGAACCAACTACTCCAGAACTAACCATTGAAGGTAACTGCCATATTTTGTATATTCATGAACTTGTAAATTGAAAAGCTCAGTAAACTTGTGATCTATATAGTGAATACTACAGCCCATAATTTCCATGATCGTATTTGTTTCATTTTGAGGCAGTCAGTATGGACGTGTGGAACTATATGCACAATAGATTGTTAAGATTACGAATCTTCCGCCACCTGTTAGAAAGCTTAATTTCATGAACGTCTTTGCCGATTATTCATTTAGATAATCGATTTGCAGCGCTTTCCAATCTAACTTGATGCGCTCGATTTAAAGCTTTATAGAAAGTGTGCATTCAGTCTGATTAACCAACACGTGGTCTTGTCTACAACGAAAATTTGGCTAAACCAGTCAAGTTACTTGTAATACTGTAAAACAATAAGCTTTTTTGTTTGGCCTTGTATGACTAAATTATAGACTGGCGAATGAGTGGCTGTAGCCCTGAAATGTTCTTACCAAGACTATTTTAAAATTACTCTATGAATTAAATATCTTGTTCAAAAAAGATTAATGTAGTATTCCTAATTTATCAATAAAAAGAATATCTAGAATTGACGAGAGATTGGACGCCATGGAAGAAAAATGCAATGAAGTGGGAGAACATGTCGAGCAACATCAGTCATTAGGTAAAGTTTCAAGAGTATTAAATAAATTGCTATGACTTGGCGGGGGGAGGGGCGCATAGCAAAATATTAAACGAAAGTCTTTCCGTTAAAACAGATCGTTCTTTGCGTGACCTCATGGTTTAGGTACTTAACTCCACGCCTTTATTTTACTTAAATAGATCGAAATTGTCACCAGATGCAGTACTTTTGCATACATGTGATTAACCTACATTCTGAAATCAATGGGTAACTGTTATCATGAAGTTCAAAATAGTTGTGCAATTCTCTGATTTCCCGCTACGTGCAATGTAACATTTTCCTATAAAGTGCAATTTAGCAATTGCTTTTAAAAAGTATGTGGCTAACTGTGCCACATGCAATTGGGCTGAACCTGTTTTGAACAAATGGACCAATTACTGTAAAACGTGTTGAAAAAGCGGCATGCAATTTTAGGGAATTGTGGTAAAATGACGTAATTAGCTAAATGTTGATTTAGCGAATCTCTCTTGTCATTGTTGATTTCTTTGTTTGGCGGCCATTTTGAATTGATAATAAAGTCATTGACGACATATTGAATTAGCGAATCAGTTCTCTCGCTAAATTCGCAAAAAAGACATGCTCGCGAAAAAGACGTGTTTTACAGTAAGTAGACTGCCCAACATATCCTTTGCTAATTTACAGTTTGTAATTCAATTGTTTTCAGATGAGGAAATGTACGGAGAACTCTTGGAAAGAATCGAAGCCCTGGAAGAACAGCTGAAGCACTTTCGCGTAGGTATTATTTGCAAAACTGTTGTATTAATATATCAGTCACTGCGAAATTTCGCGTTATGCACGCAATGGAACGTAAATAGGACAATGGCCAAAGTGTCGTGTTGACGTCAACACTGGCGTGGGATTTGACAGACTACAGTAAGCTGTTTCCACGCTTAATGTGCTATGCACTTTAGCAAAGCTGACAGGCGTATTTTCACCGGGAAGCGCTGCATTTAGATATTGAACTAAATAAAAAAAAATTTGAAATCAAATTTAGATTTTCGCTGTCGTTCACACATTACGCGCGTGAAATCTTCTATATAGAATGCATTTGAAGATACAAAATGAACATTCATTCTTCGTCACTACACGAGTACATTCTATTGTCTGCTGTGTAAAACTTTGATTTCTTTTCTTAAAAATACATGAACATTGCTACTGATGAAACAAAAGTGCACCTGTTAGTGTGCAAAATGTACTGCCTTCGATGTAGACTGATAGTCTTCAGGCCTAATTTGTTAGTATACTAATCAGTACGAAGGCGTTCGCAAGAAATGCAGCAGGAATTTCACCGAAGGATGCAAGGAGTCTATTAACGCTCTCACGCGACGTGGGTTTCCACCAATATATGCATAAGCTGTCGATCATTCTGTTCAGGTTTCCACTCCTATGCTAGAGAACGATTAACTTAAGTTGTTGCTTTTATTTCTAGCTCCCGCAACCAATGAAAATGTTACCATCAGGTCTCCTCAACGTGTCAAGTCGCATTTAGGAAGACTCTCCTTCCACCGCGAAGCTGCAGATGATTCTAGTCGCTCGGCAACTCTAGGCCGTAACCAAGAGCATCATGAGAAAGAAAACTCTGCTCCATGCTAAGTTACTGTCGTTAAGAAAACTCGCCTCGACAAAGGCTAAACTTGCAAGATGAGATTTTATCACCCTCTAATGTTCGATGTGATTTTTTTTTAATAGAAAATTTAGTTTCATAGTTTATTTATAAATTAGTTTATTATATTAATTATAAAATAGATGACTTGGTCACATCGTATCAGAAATACTTGTATTACATCTAAATTATTTTATATTCCACATTTAATTTATCCAGTTAAGTAAAAATGACCGTCAGCAGATGTTTGCCAGAGTTTATTTTTATTTTTAGAAATGCCTGCATTTTCATGTTTTATCCACATAAGTCAATTTTTTGGTGTAATGCCGGGTTGATCACATCGAGGCAATCAACTGCGAATATCCCTTGTACATGGACAAATTGTAAAGACTCGATGAGCGGAACATAATTTTCGATAATAA